CTCCGTGTAAGATATATTTATATTCCAATGTTGTGAAGGCTCTCAAAAAGAAATTGTATGGAACGGGGAAAAGTGCCAATGCGAGCCACAAATGAACGGAAGACGGTTCTCACAAATTTATAGATAACTTCTCTCTTTAATAAACGTTTCGACCCTGTTTCGGGTCTTCCTGTGACAGTCGTGTTAAATCATTTACAACGAATTCATCTCTGTCGACGTGTCTCCAGTCCTCTTTATGTCCGGGAACATTTAGAGAGAAAAACATGAGACCATGATAGAAGAGGGATTCTTAAACCATATATTTAACGAGTTATACTGAGGAAGACCCGAAACAGGGTCGAAACGTTTATTAAAGAGAGAAGTTATCTATAAATTTGTGAGAACCGTCTTCCGTTCATTTGTGGCTCGCATTGGCACTTTTCCCCGTTCCATACAAGATATATTTATATAGCAAAGAAAAGTATGAAAAAAATACGGAAATGGTAGCGATATAAATTAGTTTTGCTATAAATTCTACACATTCTTTCATATACAAAATGCATAAAAAATATATTTAAATTATAATAGAAGTTTGGTGACGCCAGTCAATAAATCAAGAATTTTAATAAGTGTGTAAACGACCTTACTGGCAATTCTTTATTAAATAAAAAACGACGTTTCGGCCAGTAATACTGGTCCTCTTCAGGTGAACAAGCTTACAAGAGTCGAAACGTCGTTTTTTATTTAATAAAGAATAAAGAATTGCCAGTAAGGTCGTTTACACACTTATTAAAATATATTTAAAGTTACTGCTCATCCAGACATTTCATTTTCCTCTTTTATATTATTTTCTTCCTTTTATATTATCTTTTACACTAATTTCGCGTGGTTAATTCTACAGGTTGCAAAAAATCGAGGTTTAAAAAGATATTATACGACCAATAATTTCGTGTCTCTCATTTATCAAGTTTCAAGTTTAAAGAGACAATATTTATATTTGAAGGTAACATATGTGGTTACCTGTATAATTAGCTATGCATATTTCATGCAGCCCCTAGCGATCGAACCTGCATTGCCTGTTTAACGGGCGCGCGCAACATGTGTTCTAATCCTTTCCACGGTCAACCAATTTATCATCGAGCGTTTCTCATTCCAGACGTATCTGGTAGCATTGCTATTTCGTAAGCAATGTTGCCGATAAATACGTCTACCATTAAGGACATATTAGAAATAATTTTCCATGCAGAACGTGACGATATTACAGAATTTGAGAGAATTTTATTGTTTTGTGATGATATTTCCATCTTGGTATTCTGTCGCACAAATTTTCTATTTTGTGTTGTCCTAACTTTGCAATATCACTATTTTATGTAACTATTATCTTCTACTATTTTTAATTGCGCACAGTAGGTTCATCGAGTGTAAAGTACATATACGTGTTAGTATATCGAAACTACGATAAACGATAATAAATTATTGTTGAGGAAATTTCTTATTTCTGAAAGGCCAGATTTATTAATACGCTTGTATTAATACGTTTTGTACGCGTAAGAAGTTGCACATTGCTATGCAACTGCGATAATTAACTTATTCTTCTATTTTATACCAACGGGTCGATGGAATTTTCGTTGATTCCAATTAATTTGGATAGATGCGACAAGGGCGTTTGAACGTGGCTTGCGGCCAGCAAAGAAAAAGTAGATTCTGCGGTAGTTATTAAAACTTGGAAGAGGACAACGATCAGTCGGATGTAGAAATACTCACGAGTACTTCTCGACACTTGGAAAGTCACCGACCTTGACAGACATTTCAAGTCACGCCGGTGAATTAGTGCTCTTTCTCCGTACTCGACAACCTGTATCATTACTGTATGCATGAAAAAATCTCGACCATCCGGACAGGTGCGTTGGTACACGGGGACACCCTAGTACTTGCACAATGCCTGCGATTAAGGGGCCACCCTGCGATGTATGCGTTATTCCTTTTATCCGATTCACTTCGTCGACTTGCCGATTCGATGTTTCGAATGTGGAAATATAGTATTGCAACCAGATCGGTTCGGTTTTTCTCTCTACGATTTTTGTCTTCGGTCAGCCAGCGATCAACTAGAAAGCGAGCCGGGCTGCTCAAGATATTCAAGAACGCAGTGTTGCAATCCGCTTTTACAGTATTATCAAATTTTGATGCTGCGTGTCATCCAACTCTCGTGAGGATCTCGGTTTAGCGGGTCGGTCTAGTAGAACGCGTTACGACGGGCAAATTTTCGCAAACTCGAACTATCTTAACGACGTTGTATATAAAATACATTCATGCGATTCAGAATTAATTTCTTCCGCGGTTGCATAATCTCATAAATTTCTTTCGCGTACGCAGACTATGTATACAGATGCTACAAAGTTGACAGTGATAAAGAAAATGTGTAAAAGCACATTATATAAATTGACACAGAACCTGTGCACGTGTCACACAATGGGAAGTGAGGGTAAAAAAAAGAGACAATATGCAATAGATGTACAATATAAATTTGTATATCGTAGAAATCTAAACTTTTTAAGATATACAAACCTATACCATATATCTAATCTGTGTAGCTTGAAAATCTACAATTTCTACATTTTTATAAAATTAGAATTTTCCACTAAACAGATTTCACCCCACAAGGGCAATAAAAATTCATGATAAAACCAATAGGCGATGTTTAGCAGAGACTCTGCTATCTTATATTAGGAACCTCGCTCATAATGTAGGTAAATTAGGAGGAATTCGGCAATTATATAACAATTACATAAGTTAATTGGCTAAAAGCTATTATGTGAAATGTGACACTCGAAAAAGTGATGCAACGGTCACTTTCCCCAAACCCGGGTGTCGTCTGAGCCGTATGCAAATCACGAATCGGCATAGATTCGTGCGGTCGCGCATGTGTTATTTCATTCTCGTAAGAAACCGACCCATCCTTCACCTGGTATTTCTGGACTCGAGAGAAACTTTAATCGGTATTGGCATCAATTTTTACCGGGATTGACTGTTTCGGCGAGTCTCTCGGCGACGAGATGGGAAATATATAGAGAAGTTGAGAAACTAATGAGTTCTGTGTAAAAAGAATCGCCACGGGGATATGGGACGCGAAAAATTGCGAATGTAAAGACGACGATTCCCCCTTCAATATTTTTGCCAAGGAAACATCGACTCCAGATTAATCCAAGAAGCACACGATGAATCTTTGAATCGTCCTTCTTTTCTTCTTTTTCTACGATAAATTATTAAGACCTGAAACACGCGATCAATATCTTGCAGATTTCGGAAAGGTTTCACTTTCGCCATCAACATGCTGGCGCAAGTGTTCGAGAAATACGGCCGGTTCTGCGCCGGTCATCCCTTGGAGGTAATCGTGACGGTCCTCACTTTGACGGCGTGTACGTTTAACATGGAAACCGGAAGTGGACAGGCACGTAAAGAGGACTTGCCCGATGAGACGTACTGTCGTCACAACAAATGCGATAGTATGGTAAGCAAAGATTATCGTGAGACTCCACGCTTGGATCGTTTTCTCAAGGACGTTAACTTGCGTCATATATAGTCGCGGTTTTTATGATATTTTGTACAAATACTTATTAATGTTGTATCAGATCGAAACAGATTTATGTGCGCTACTGTTTCTTTCAATCTATCTTTTCTTGTCCTAGTTCTAGTTTGAAGAAATGTGCAGCCAATCAGCTTGCAGCTATTCCATAAAAGCTGCGAGTTGATATTACAATTTTTTTATAAGAATATTAGTGTTGTATTCGATCGAATTTTTGAAAGATATTTACTTATATTATTTTCATATTTTTGAAATGAGATAATTATAACTGTTAGATCGAGCAAAAGTTCGGTGTGCGCTGCATTTTCTTAAATGTATACCTCCTTGTTTACTGTAGTAAATAAAATATCTAACGTTTCCGTATTGTTCGATAGGACCTGAAAGCGGCTGACATTATAGTGATGACGATAATACGCTGCCTGGCGGTTTTATTCACTTATCATCAATTCCGCACTTTGCAAAAAATGGGATCGAAATATATTTTAGGTAAGATAATTAAAACGTAGCTTTTACTCCCTTATCTATACAATTTAAATTATAAAATAATGGTACCTTTTACTGGTGTCAACTAACGATGCATATGTATATTCAAATTGTTTTGCGTATATTGAGAATGTTTCTTGCATAACAAACAAGTCTGGAATAAATTTGTTCGGACAATTATGTAGGTATATTTAAATAACTTAACATAGTTCTTATAATTCAAAATATTTAAATCAGATTCCACAAAAAAATTGTATGATACATTTTTTTAATAAAAAGTTGTAATTTATAGTTTACATAATGCACATTACGCATGTATATGGCTTAATTTTCATACAGCTAATTTAATTAAGTTTTTTTCTTTTAATTTATTCATAGTTATTTAACTTACAAAATTCGAGAATTATATCGACAATAACTGGCACAATATATTTTAATTAGTACACGACACTTCGGCCAGTAATACTTCTTTGCTGTCACACTTAATGGGTTGAACTTGATAAAGACCAGTATTACTGGCCGAAACGTCGTGTACCCTTATACGAAAAAGTAACGAAATAATTACTAGAAAATTACTGTATATCAGTAATTGACTATCAGAATTTACTGATGTACAGTAATTTTCTAATAATTATTTCGGTGCTTTTCCGTAAGGGTGTGATGTGTTCTACTTTAACTCTAATGTTTAATACAAAATAAGTTCCCAGGTAGCACAGTGAATTCTTCAAGCTTTTTCTTTTTCTGAATTGTATATTAATTCTTTAGGAATTCATAGAAAGATACGATAAGAAAAATTGAGAAAGTTACCTGCACTATAATTCGAACTTCTGAGAAATACCTCGAGACGCACTGATTGTGGCCGACTCTTCAAGAACACAGATGTTTATTTTTCTAATTATGTACTCTTTAAAGTGAATTCTCTATGAATTTACGCTCACCTTTGTGCTCTCCGGGTCTAAAATAAGCACGGCGAGGGAGTCAGTCGGCGTTGTGTGAATTGCGCAGTCGTTTCGGAGTCGGTATTCGTTTCGACTTAACTCTGCTTTTCTGAAAGTGGAATTTTTTATTTTTTTTTCTCCTGATTACCACAGATCGATACACCCCGGTGCGTCGACGATAAAGCCACGCGGAGGGAGATGCGTAATAATTATGCGTGTGAGAACCATTCATAAAACCGGATCCTCCCGAGCGGCGCGTGAAAGCTCACGTTGGTGAACAGTGAAAGTCTCGTGGAAAGTGACAGCATTTCGTACGGAGCGTTACGCGCGATTACTGAATTCGAGAATTCTTTTTACGCCACTTGTGACTCCGCGTAACGTTATGCTAGCCGATAATTTAATTTGCAACAACATCGCGTTAATCATCGCGATTAAACGCAGAACTGCGTTCCGCCGATGAGATAAAAAATCCACTTTCAGAAAAGCAGAGTAGAGTCGAAACGAATACCGATTCGAAACGATTGCGCAATTTACACTACGTAAATATAATAATAATCGTACTTAGAAAATCGAAAGAAATACAGCACCGAGTTATATCTTCACGGATATCCTGCACGTAAAAATTCCCCCGTTCGCTCGCGAACGAACGAAGCACGACGAGATCGGCCTGTCTTCACCTCGCGCTTCCTCCGCATCAGAAGTCCTGCCGGTTCCGTCGCGATGTAGCACACGTAATCTCGATTATCACATACTCAGCAGATTTGTCGGTATGTGTTCCAGGTATCGCCGGGTTGTTTACCGTCCTCTCCAGCGTGATGTTCACCTCCAGCGTGGTGAATTTCGGCCGCGGCGATGTCGCGGACTTCAAGTAAGCCGTTTACACTACGCGGAGAATAAAGTTTCTCTCTCTCTCTCTCTTTCTCTCTCTCTCACACATCTCGCGACTGCAATAAAACGTTCTTACATCTTCCAGGGACGCTTTATTTTTCTTTTTGCTTCTTATCGACCTGTCAAAGGCCGCAACGTTAGCGCAGCACGCACTGAGTTCGCGGAATCAAGAAGAGGTCAAAGCAAACATCGCGCGCGGTATGTCTCTGCTGGGACCGGCCTTGACTCTGGACACTCTCGTGGAGACGCTACTGATCGGCATTGGATCGTTATCGGGCATCAGAAGACTGGAGGTCCTCTGCACCTTTGCGTGTTTCGGGGCGATCGTCAACTACATCGTCTTCATGACGTTCTATCCGGCCTGCTTGTCGCTCATACTCGAGGTGCGGCTTAACTTGATTTTCTCATTGAAACGATTCCTTTTCCCGCACTTTTACAACTTTCCTCCAAATCGTCTCGGGTGTTCCATTTTGAATGCAGAAAGCGTAACGTAGCGACATTGAAAAGTACAGATTTGAAGGATTATTGCAAGAGAAATCCACTGCTATCAAGTATATCGAATGTAATAACACATGATTATATAAATCCCAAATATATCAAAATAAATACACAATGTTTTTGGTATAAAATAAATTAACACGTATACTTGTGTCTGGTCCGTTAGCTCTTTTTAACGTTAATTTATTTTATACTATCGAACCTTTGTCATATATTAATTTGGGTTTTTCTTTGTATCTGAGAATAATGTAAGCATCGAGTTTGATAAGATTTTAGAAATATTACAAGGCTCGGAGCTATCAAAATTAGCAAATCGTCAAAAAGACGAAGAATGTAATTGTCAAATATCATGATAAAGTTATGCTGTCAGTCAGCAAATATGTATTTGTCAGCATAAAGGACAGTGTGAACATTACACTGACATTATTGTATTACAGCTTTCTCGCGGAAGTAATAATATGGGCCAACTCAGGGCAGACAAAATCTTTATAATGCAGCCATTAAACGAGGAGGATCAAAAACCGAATCCTGTGGTGGAGCGAGTCAAGTTGATCATGATCGCTGGTCTATTCGTGGTACATGCCAACAGGTATACATTTTTACTGTTTCTCGCGGTGATGCAGCAAAAAAAAGAATCTTCTCCCTCGTCTTCTCCTTGATACAAATTTTAAAGTATAAGACGGTAGTGTATGACAATGTATATCGTCGTATATACGCGGCGAAACAGGAAACCGTGGCCGAAGCATTGTAAATATCTGACCCCAGACTTGCAGCGTCTTTGTCAGTTTGTGCACCTAATTTCAGGTCAGGTTCATCTATAAACATTAGCATTTGGATATGGACTTCTGTCCTACCTATCTTTCAATTTATTCAATGAAGTATTCATATTCAATAAAGCTTTCTACGTAGGAAGAAAGATCTTATTGAGAGACAAGTTTGGGCGTTTTTAAAAGATGATCGGTAGCGCGATATGAAAGAAACACTCTCGCAACGGCCGGAAGTCATCTGTAATTCCATTATTATTATACTCGTCTCGGATGGATATTTACAAGAATGAAAAGTGAAATAGGATGGATTCTATTTCATAGAATTCGAAATGTACTTTTGGGAAAAACTACTTTGTGAGTCTTTTGTTGGTTTTCCAATTGAATTTTGCCAATATAACAAAATTAAAGAAAAAAAAAATTAATATCGAGTGTCAATTTGGATGTAACCTGAAGATATTTTGGTTCTACTCTGAACAAAAAATAAGTGAATCTGGCAAGTCGCGCTATAAAAGTTATTCTTTGTTGATATTCTTGGAGTAACAAAACTTTAATTCAACATAAAGCATGTTGTCATACAATTCCATCTTTATGCAATCGCAGTTATACAATGCGCAAATATTTCTCAATATTTAAGGAGTCGAAAGAGGTGTGCTTTCATGCGGGATCTGTATGAATGGTAGAACATATTTTAATATTGCATGAGAACGTTAATAATAACGCGTGTACAAAAGATTGACTGTCGTCCATACAAAGTAAAATGAGGGTCCAAAAATAAGTTTATAGGGTGGTGGTGGTACAGAATACTTTGGATCTTCTCTCCCCGTTTCTGCCGGTTATCACTGGATTACGTTTTAGTTTGTGGAAAAGTGTTGTTGCGTTCGCTTCGTGTTTCGATCAAAACGACTGTCTCATTTGTTTATTAACATAACGATTATTATATCGCGGTATATACGTAGATATATAAGGCAGTCATCATGCAAAAGTTCTGATCATTTTACTTCAATATTTTTACATAATTATGATTTATATTTCTTCATTATCATTTTATTAGGATTGCGCATTTACATCTATAATTTTCATGTTGCACTGACAAGTAATAAGGATATAATGGCAAACTTGTTTTTACAATTACACATTACGGAATATAGTAATACAATATAATACAATCGTGCTTTTTATATACCTACATATAAAATAATTTAAAATAAAATCTATCTATATGACATTATCTTATTTTGTAATAATGAAATATCTATTCTGCTTCATAATTGTCTATTATTGTTTTAACATCAAGCATTTGGCGCCAGCAGATAAATAATCATGTTAAGCAGTTGATCGACCATGACTGGCGATGTGTTTTTAACACGGAAAACTTATTGCAAAAATTGCGCAATTCACAAAAGTCGAAAACACACGCGTAGACAACATCTATACTGTTATCGCGACAAATATTATCATATGCCTCGGTAGTCGAATTGGTTGAGACGCCCGCCTAGAGTGAAGGAAGGTCCAGGTTCAAACCCTGGCTGAGGTAATATTTTTCGCAATAAATTTTCTTAGAAACACATCGCCAGTCATGGTCGATCAACTGCTTAATCATGGTTATTATTGTTTTAATTCATACAAAATTTCAATTTATATAATATTAATAGCTTGTAACATATTGCAGCCGCTGGCCCTTTAAGAGCGAGGAAGGCGAGTACACGGCGAGAACGACAACGACATCCACGAGCCCGGACGCGATAAACGGTTCTGATCACATCGAGAACTCCGAGTTAAAGGAACACCTGATGACTTGGCTATCAGCCAGCACGGACAATATTGTGATATTGATACTACTGTTAGCGCTGGCGGTAAAATTAATTTTCTTCGAGGATAGAAACGACGTGATAGTCACCAGACGGCTGAGATTTAAGGAGGAAGAGGAGGAAGGGAAGGAGGAGAAAGAGGCGGAGGAGGAGGAGAGAACGAAAGCGGTGGAGGCGACAGTGGAGGAGAAAGTGGAACTTCTCGATGGTCCAACCAATCTGGACGATATGGATACCACGATGAATGTGTGGTTACGGGAACGTTTTGGTGTAACGTTACCAACGATCCAAGAGCCGGTTTTTCCTCTGTCTGGCGTGGGTGGTGGATGGGGTGATGAGAACGATGTGGAGTGCATCGACAAGGAGGTGCAGACCGACGCGATATATTTTGATGCGAACAATTCTGGTGAAATTAACTCGGCGTCGGAAAAGCCTGAACAAACCAGGAGCGTGGAAGACTGTCTCGAGATATACAAGTCAGAGGTAAGAAAATAATAAGGTAATGAAACAATCTATACGTAGAATATAATTATATGTATTATTGTATATATTTAAGCTTGGAGCCAATGCCTTGACGAATGAAGAGGTGATACAATTGGTGGAACACAAGGACATAGCTGCGTACCAATTGGAAAAAGCGGTGGGCGACATGGAGCGCGGTGTCGATATTAGGCGTCATGTTGTGGGTGCCGCTGGCAGGTTCACCGAGAAGATGACTGATTTACCCTATAGGAACTACGATTACACCAAAGTATTTGGCTCCTGCTGCGAGAACGTGATCGGTTACGTACCGATACCGGTTGGCATCGTTGGGCCATTGCTGGTCGATGGCGAGCTGCACCACGTACCGATGGCGACGACGGAGGGCTGCTTGGTAGCGTCCACCAATCGCGGCAGCCGCGCGCTCCTCAAGTGCGGCGTGACCACCCGCGTAACAGCAGATGGGATGACCCGAGCGCCCGTAGTGCAATTCCCGGACATTGTGCGCGCGTGCGAGGCCATGTCGTGGCTCGAACAATCGCAGAATTTTCAAGAGCTGAAGAACAGCTTTGACGAAACTAGTCGCTTCGCCCGCTTGATAAGGATCCATCCGCGCATAGCCGGCCGAGACCTGCATCTGCGCTTTGTCGCCACGACCGGTGACGCCATGGGCATGAACATGTTGTCGAAGGGAACAGAGAGATCTCTACAGACGTTGCAGACCCACTTTCCGGACATGGAGATAATCTCTCTCAGTGGGAATCTCTGTACTGACAAAAAGCCTGCGGCTATTAATTGGATTGAGGGAAGAGGTAAAAGCGTTGTGTGCGAGGCAATTGTACCTGCGGACGTCGTGTCGCGCGTACTGAAGACCTCTGTGCACGAACTCGTCAATTTAAACAACAAGAAGAATTTAACGGGTTCAGCCTTAGCAGGTACCATAGGTGGCTTCAATGCGCATGCTGCTAATATCGTGACCGCGATTTTTATCGCCACCGGGCAGGATCCCGCGCAGAACGTTACCAGCAGTAACTGTTTGACATTGATGGAACCGTGGGGCGTTGATGGCAATGATCTGCGTATAACTTGCACAATGCCCAGCATAGAAGTCGGCACGGTGGGCGGTGGTACCGGCCTACCCGCGCAAGGAGCTTGCTTGGCGATGCTAGGAATCAAGGGTGCGCATCCCGCAGAACCTGGCCAGAACGCCAAGAGACTCGCCCGAATCGTTTGCGCCACTGTACTCGCTGCCGAGCTGTCCTTGATGGCCGCGTTGGCCTCCGGGGATTTGGTCAAGAGTCATTTGAGGCACAACAGGTATATGACTTGAGCGCGTCTCATTGAATTTATACGTATACGTTTGGAGACTAACTGAAGAATTACATTATTAAAATCTACTTTTACAGCAATTTTTACTCAACAGTTGCTAATTATTGAAATAACTGATGACTAAATGAAGAAGTTTATTTCCAAATCATCTTAAATTCATACAGCATTACAAGAAGCTTTATAAATTATGCAATGCGAAAACAGTTTGGCGATAAAACTCCAACTATGTTGAGTCTATGAATACAGCTATTAAATACTGTTAATTTTTTAACTAAATATTTTGTCGCAGGTAACTAAGTTGCACGTTTCTCTTTCTGTTTGCAGATCATCTGTCCTAATTAGTAACCCGGTGACCACTGCTCACAGAAGTAGTAGCAGTAGTCGCGACAAGTTAACGGTGCCAATCGTTTAGTCATACTAAAACGTTTGTGTAAACTGCGCTAAAATCTTAGTGGCTAACAAATATTTTCGTCCTTTCCGTATGATGAGAGCTGTTGTTTATATATCGTTTCGCGCCTGCCTCATTAGTGTTCCAAACAGATCGAGTATGTTTCTGCTGCGATGAGATGTAGGTCGAATTATGATGTGTATATTACGCCTATGTATATACGTACATGGAAAGAGAAGTATTGCAGTTCTGACGGAAATGATAAAATGTCTCTCCTTATGGTCCTCTTCATTGATTCGTGGACGAATCAAACCTCGGATTCGAAGAACAAGCGCGTGCAAATTATAGCGAAACAAAGAGATAAAATGAGACTTTATTATTTATATATTGCAATACATGACTGTGATATTTAATATCCTGATTAAGATAAAATTGATATTTCGGAACAATCAAAAAGTTTATTATTTACATTAAAGCATCATAAGGAGAGACATTTTATCATTTCCGTCAGAACTGCAATACTTCTCTTTCCATATACGTATATACATAGGCGTAATATACACATCATAATTCGACCTACATCTCATCGCATACAGCAGAAACATACTCGACTATCTGTTGTCGACTATCCGTTGTCGACTATCCAAACAACAACAGACAATAATTAGATTATATTAGAACTTTCAACGCAATCATATCTTGTTTACATGTTTTTCTTCTCAGTTCCGGAAAATATACAATTATACATTCATTAATAACAGATATCGGATCAAAGACTAAAGGTAAGAAAGATAAGATAAAGGATTAAGTTTTTGTGAGGAATTTAAGTAAGGTTTTATTTTAATCCAGTAGCGCGCCGTGCGATATCATAAATATTTGTTAAACAGTGTTTTCTGAATGTTAAAACTTTCTTTTTGGACAAGGATAAAATATATAAAATTATGTTATTTTAATATAAGTACAAAAAATAGCGAAATAAATATAATACTTTCAGTATTTCATAATTGTACATAATAGGCAATTCTATCGGTAATGTAAAGGAGATAATTACTTTTTTAACAACATTCACATAATATTAATAAACTTGTAAAAATTTATGACAGAAAAATATATAATTTATCACGTTTTTCCTTTAAATCTGATTTTGTGAAATAATATAAAAATAATATGTAAATATCGAAAGTGCATTGATCAACAGAACATATCACCCACATTTTCGAGAGAGAAAAACAAATTCCTTTTCCAAGACTTGTCTGTAAGATCGTATCGATACTTCTCTCTCTCTCGTGATAAAGTGATATCAAACTGACTCGTGCTATCGTGAATGATATTCGGGCATTCACATTTTTTCGTAGGTATCCTCATAACCGCACGTCATACAAGTATGCGTGTACGTATCATCCTCTTCATTGTACGTGTCTTCTCCAAACTCGTGAACATGAGACGCTTTTGTCGTCTTATCGTACAACGAACTCCTCACTTGCATTCGCAGCTGTTTCATCTTCATTCATCCGTAAAACGTAAAACTTCTTTTAGCAACCATATATATAGCATCATATTAAAATCACTTGTACACGTACAAGAAGTTCAGGTACCTTTTTATTGAATTTCTTGATTTTAGCTCCCGCCCGCTTTACATCGCGCATTTCCTTCTCCTTCAACAAGTTCTCCTCCGAGCCCCAAACTTCCAAAGCTCTCTGTTCTATCTGCAGATGCAGATACAACTTCATCTCGCCCCAATTCGCGTTGTGAGGATTCTTTAGCATGATATACTTCAGAACGGGTTCCCGTCGATCGAGATCGCAGTCCTTCAACAGGTATTCTTGTTTCGCTTCAGTTTTGGTGATCAAGGAGTGCTTTCCCTCTTTATCTCTAAAACGATACGTAACGGTGTAATATTCGTAAGTATTTATCGAGAGATCTGCGAAAGAGAAAGTAAATACCATACAAATGAAACTGTTTGCTTCAAACGCCACTGTCATACCTGCACTTATCACAGACAGCCAGGTCGAACGTTTGCAGGAGGTACGAGTCTCCAAATTTCTGCTGGCACTCCTCGCACTCGTTAAATTTACCAATAACTGGTTCCGGCTCGGTTCTAATCTTCAGCTAAACAAATCAAAAGTTGTTTTACTGTATAACGTAACAATGTTATATACATCGATTATTTATATACGTGTTGTATGTACCATTTGCTGTTCTAATTCATCATTTTCTTCTATGAGGAAGCCTCCGCCGCTATCGATAACTCGCTGCCCTTGAACTTTTAGCAGTCTACCTTTCACAGAGTCACCATTTTCCCTAACAGCCACATTTTATCAATAAGAATCTAAAGTCTTGTAGAAATGGAGGTTTATTTTAAAGCTAAGACTCCAAGATCAATGAAGTGATCATTAAGAGACGATTGCACTACAGACAGACGACTTAACAATTCTCTCGTGTATGCATATACTTGACACACACCTCGCATACGGACGAGTTACAACCTTGGATTTTTTCAACAATCAATAAGAATCCGAATTCTTATAAAAATGAAGGTTCGTCTCAAAACTAAGGCCGGTACTCGTAGTCGGATCTTATATTCAAGACAGTCTTGAATTTATCTAAAGACGCTGTACGGAACATTCCACTGGCTACTGAGTATCCAAAGATGACCTTGAGACAGTCTTGAATATAAGATCTGACTATGGATCCCGGCCTAAAGGCCAATGTCCACGATGCTAGAACTTGATCAAAGTTCTAGTTTCGAGAAACGTGTAGCCAATCAATTTGCAGCTTTTATGGAATAGTTGCACGTTGATTGGCTACACATTTCTTGAAACTAGAACTTGGACCAAGTTCTAGCATCGTGGACATTGGGCTTAAGACTCCAAGATCAAAGAACTGGCCATTAAGAGACGACTGCACTACAGGCAGATTACGTTAACAATTTCTCTCGTGCGTGCACATGCTCGATACACACCTCGCATACGGATGCGTTACAACCTTGGATTTTTTTAACAGGAGTGCTCTTTGACGATTTCTCTCGGCTCTCTCTCTGAGCCGCTTCTCCGTCTCCGCGTCGTCTCCATTATTGCTGGAGCTATTTTCTGCATTCGCGGTCGCTGTGCTGGCCATTTCTTAACAAAATATCAAGTATCCGCGTGCGTACGCACTTTGATACGCCAATAACGTGTACACGTGCGCCTTCAAAGGAACCTGAAAATGCGCAAACCTTCAGTCGTTCGTTCACGCAGGATTTTGCGTGCAGAAACTTATCTCGGTGTCTAGGCTGCAAACAGATATTTATCAGAGAGGTCAATGGCAGCGCCCAGACAGATTGGATAAAAGAGACCGAGGTTTTTGGTAATTCTAGTAGGAGTGTTGAATCGCTCGTTGCTTATTCGGAACGTCACGCAATTGGGATTACACGCGAAATCGCAACGCAAAAGAAAGCGGAGCACGTTCCGTAACAGCGAGGTTACTCACCGATGCCGCGAGTCATCCATCTAAAGCCTCGTGTCGCGCAGCGAAAGCAACACTCGGCCAAAAAGCTTGCGATCCCCGACGAGCTACAGTATCAATTGTAAGCAGAAGTGACAAGGGCTCGAGTCACGCGCACAGCAAAGTCCTCCGGGACTCCTCAGTCCCGCTAACAATTTGCGGGACGCCCCCGATCTGTTCGTTCCGGCTCTCCACTCGCACTTTCTACACCTCGAAACACACGTGGACGGCCTTTGATGTTCCAAGGGCGTATGTCCGTAAGATCAAATCGCCAAAACATTGCAAACTCCTTTATTTAAGACGATTTAGTTTCTCGTAAAAGAAAAATATGTACAATAATTTAGAACATGCTCAAAAATGAATGTAACGTGCGCGTTAATCTCCGGCATAAAAGAAGTCACAAATTTATCCAGAAATATAATTTAGTACACCGTTGCAAACGGAATGGTCGGAAAGAATGAAATAGAATAAAGAATGGCGGTCTCTTAATCTAGGATATTTAAAGCTAGCAACAATTATATCCTCCCAACAAACCAGTAGATATATATTTATATTATACAATTATATTTAATTGAGGATTAAGGTCTTCGGATACTCCATGGTTTTTTTATTACTAATTTTGTCTTACGGGCAATAATTCAGTGAAATTTGTATGAGAACGCGCGATGAAATTGAAAAACTGAGCGCGTTTGAAGTGTCGGATGGTAAAGTTTCATCGAGATCCAACAGAATTGACGATCCTTCAATCTCTGCAGCCGCATTTTACAATACCAATCGAAGCTTCCTTTTCTATTCGTTTTATTATTAACTTAAAATGGTACTTCAGTAAGTCTACACTTCCGCACATACAAATCGTGAACTGAATAAGTTCGCAGACTCGTCGCATATATATATTATAAAATCAAGTGATGTGTGATGTCACCATTGTTAGTTCAAATACTTCAAATACTCGTGAACACGATTATTTACAAAAAAAAACCGCATGCTGTGTCGTAGACTAGATAAATTGCTATAAGCGAATTGTTAAATGTATTACTGGGACGCGAGAGTTAGTAAAATGCTTGAATAACTTAATTATTAAAAAAAAAAGACACATGTCATCGGTAAAACTAATGACAAGTTGCTGCGATATACCGTAACTTCCGGATTGTCGAAAAGATATACACATATATATAGCCTAATCAAGCTGACATCTCAAATTAGCGAATAACTTTCGATAATTTAAACGTGCCTAATAAAATAGATTGCAGAATACTCTTAACGTCGTGATTTGAGACGCATTAAAGCGAAGGGAAGACTTAATTTCGGTTCTGCTCTTCCTTCGGTCTGCCGCCGGCTGCTTTTCCTTCGTCCAAAAAGTGAAATAAATACGCGATTACACGAGAAAGTAAAGAGAGGAGAAAGCGAAGAGAAAGGAGGAGGCGAGAGTAAGACTGAAAGTACCTTGCAATCGGGGGGGGAAAAAAACAGACTTTTTGTACGCGACGCACGTGTAATTGCACTTGCGTCATCGAAGATAAGACAACTTGCTCGCTTTATCCCCAACGGGAAAGTGAAATCTTCACGAACTCACCCCCTCCTCCCCACTTCATGTATGACGCGTGCTTTTGCGTGTCGATATCAATGGTCTCGAAAACGACCTCGAGATACGAAAAGGAATCGTATTAAGTCATCGACGCTCGTCGCGGTGGTAAAATACTGATCAAGTTTTCGCCCTGAATACGTTCGTACTGTGCTAGCAGTGAACTGCACATGCGACACGCGTGAATCGACTCCCGACCGTTGATTTCGAATTCCGAATGTCGTGGCGGTCGCCTCAGCTCTTCTTGCCGTAAAACTTGCGATTCAGCAGGTACAGGAGCAGGTTGACATTGATCTTCGCTCTGCCGAACATGTCCATGCAGGGCCTGCCCTCGTACTGCAGCTCCAGCAGCTCCTGTATGCTGATGTCGAGCTTCTCCAGCTCGACGCCCATAAACTTGCAGCGCACGGCGAACACGCCGCTGTGCTCCGTCGGGCTTATCTCGAAAGTCACGTTCTTCATCTCCGTCGGGCTCAGCGCCTGGTCGACCTCCATCAGCACGCCCTTCTCCTGCAGCTTCCACGCGGAATACTTGACCGTCAACTTGGACCTCAGTTTGCACTGCGTGTACATGTCCTTCTGCGCTGCCTGGTACGCGCGAAGCGAACTCTTGCCGCTGTGCAGATTCTTGAGGCAGCCCTTTATGTACTCGTTGTAGAATCCCACCTGCTCCTGATAGTACCGCGTTTTCTCGTCCAATCGCACCTTGGTCGCCCGCAGCGTCTGCAGCTCCTTGTCCCTCGCGACGCGGTACTTGTTCTTGTTGCATATGTCCCTCGCTATCGCCGTCACGATCGTCTGATAACCGTCCGCGCGACTGATCCATCCCTCGAGCTCGAGCTTGTTGAGGTACGCGCGCAATTGCATCTTACAGTCGTTTATGAACGAGCTCTCGCGGACCGTCGGCGACACGGACGAGTAATCGAAGTAATCGAACAGTTTCACGCACATCGGAGAAGACGTGGTCTCCAGCGACTCCACGAGCGTCGACCTCTTCAAGAACGGGATAACCGACACGAGCAATTCCTTCGCCTTCACGAAGAGATTGCTCAGATTCGTATCGTCGTTACGCGGCACCTGGAACTTGTTGGTTAGCACCAGGCACACCTCCTGCTTGCTGTATCTCGCCAAATTTGCGTCGTACGCCGCTTTGGATACCCCGAGCAACGACGCCACAGTTGGCGCCGGGCCCAATTCGTCCAGCAAGTCGTGTAAAGGATCGGACGGGTCCGGTGCTATCTGGTCTTCGTAATTCAACAGCAAAGCGTGCATCTCGCATACCTCCTGCAGGGATATACATATCTCCGGATTTTGTATAAGCGTCGCCTCCGTGTACTCGTGAATGTCGAAATGTTCCTCGAGGTCTTCCACTTGGCAACAGTACCGGAAGAAGTCCTTGAACCTCTCGTGGCAGGCGATTATGAACTGATTCAAACACTCCAAGTGCGGTGCCTCCTCGCCAAAGCCTTTCTTCGAGGTGGAGAATTGCAGCACCTTGGCTATACTAGCCAGATTCTTCCTCTGGCAGGAGGACAGCGTTCTGTCGACCGGCAACGTGACGATGTCGAAGGTGTCCGGCGCCACGATCGCGGCGTTGATGAAGTGATAGTAAATCAAATTGCCGACCGCCTTCAGGATATCCTTCTCGGGAGCATGCGAAAACTTCTCTATCAACGTGTTGTACAGGACCTTCGAAACGTAGAGCATCCCGTAAGGGATCAGATCGCGGGACTGCGTTATTCGGTTGAGAAACTCGAGGGATATCTTCTTCAATTGATTGATCGCCCTTGTGAGCGACTCCTGCACCGGCTTGTGTTTCAGCGCTTGTTCCTGAGACACCGCGTGGGGCATATCCAAAGACTGGCCGCATTCCATCTCCAGCTGATTCCGCCAAAGCTTGTATATGTCCACCGGATTAGTTTCTATGCAGAGATCCCTCTCCTCCAGAACCTTCTCGATCAACGGACCTACGATCTGCTTTAACGACGCTTGACCGTTG